ACGTTGCTCGGGGGAATGAACAGACGACCGATCGACGCTGGACATACGCCGATTTTATATATATCAGAGGKGAGGAGGGGGACGTAGAGCTCGGCGAGCTTATCGAGTATAAAGGTCATTATATTCACGCTGTAATACGAAATTATAACGATAAGCTAATATATCTCGAACAGTGGTGGTGTAGGAAATCAAGTCATTGATGAATTGGGACAAAAACCCAGGAAAATAGACATTGTTTTATAATGAAAATAAATATTAGTATTGGAGATTTTTTTTCACCGATCAAATTTATTAGATATTCAAAATAAATTGACGACATTCTAATTAAGTTTCTGTACTGTCCACTTATTTCCTGTTCCTGAAGACAATTTAATAAATCTGATCCACTACATAATATGTCCCTAGACTTCATTAAATTTGTTTGCCACCACCTTCTTTCACTTTTATTTTTTATTTTTTGGTTTTTTTTAAAATAGAATGAATTAAAATAAATGATGCGCTAGCGACTTGTAAATTTCTAACAGAAGACATTGTACATGATGTGAACTAACTCGAGAACAAACTGTGAATAACTGATGGATAGACCGGCGAACAACCAAATACACGGTAGCGCTCGACTCTATCGTACACACTGGTCGTGTAACATTGTAACATTGTAACATTCAGATGAGCACGAACTCTGTTACATTACGGCGTTACATTACAGCTAAATGCTCCGGTGTGTACCCACCTTAAGATGCGAGACGGACAAAAGACAGTGTCGCGGCGGCCGTGTTAATTRAAATTTCGCATAGCCGTTGCTGCGCCATACGATAACGAGTCTTAATTATCTATGTTATATAATTCACAAGGCACATTTAAATAGGTACATACAAAAATAAATATTATGGCAACAATGAAGTGAATAATTTGACACTAAGGTCGCAATAACAAAATAATAATACTATTGGCAGTTGGCCACTGACCACGAGTGGACAAAATATAATAATATATTACGTATTATATGAACTGACCGCAAGAGCAATAATGGACACGTTGGCGTCTGATGATCCCACGATGTATAGCGACGATGATCTTATAGAAAGAAAAAAAACTTGACTCAACCCGATCACACGTTGACGACAATCACACCTCGCGTTCACACGAGGTTTTTTGCAACACGCAAAGACGGTGAACGAACACGACGTAATGCTCAGTTCGACCGTTGGAAAAAGACAAGACTCAAGAATACAAGCGGACGCCGCACTGAAAAAAATATTACTGTTCTTATTAATAAAACTGTTCAGTTACAGTATAAATAGTGAGCATTAATAAAAAATTGTGTCGATTATAAAACTAACTGGTTCGTATAATTCAGCAATTTGTTGTACGTACATATCAATTACTGTTAATATATTTTTGTTGTATATACTAGTAATATGTGTTATAGTAAATTGTAACTAATAATTGTGAACATAAATAAMGTTATGATCCGTACAGAATTTACAGTATCGTGTACAGTAATAGTTTGAATAGAACAATTATTTTTGAGTTGTTATTACAATATGGATTGTATTTTTTGGTTTAACACTACCTAATGGCTAATTGTGGTGTATGTCATCGTCATGTATGACTCGTAATACTTACAAAACGTTTTGTTAGTCTAATATTTTACTTTTGTTCACACAACCGAAGTTAGTTCTATTCTAAGCAA